GGGGGGGGGGGGGGGGGGGGGGGGGGGCAGAGAGACCGTCTGCCGGTGGTCAAGGGCATCAATCAGATAGCGGGTGGAAACAGGTTTGCCGCCATCGACCCAAAATGCGGCAGCAGAGCAGTTCAAACGGCACGTGATGATTTTTCAGCCACAGATGCCCCATCGTCCCACTTGCTCTACCCATCGAAATCATAAGCAGAAATCTATAATCTATAAATAAAAATTAAAAAAACACATTCCACCTTCTGACATTCATCAGGAAGAGGAGTGCAGGTTCGAGAGGCGGTCTGCTTTCCGTCAGACAGGCCGGAGGCAGACGCCCCCAGCGGATGATAAGCAGCCCACCTCTTTACGGTCCAGTGCAGCATACTCAGCCTCCACGCCCTCCGCCTCGGGGTCCTTGGAGAAGACCATCTGAGCCTCCAGGCTGAGGGCCAGCTCCTTGTGGTGCTGCTTCTCGGCACAGTCGCACGGGGTCTCCTTATCCTCGTTCTCCGCGAAGAGGTCTGCGTCGCTCCTCACCAAGTACTGTAGAGACAGTCGCGGTTGGCGTCTCCACCATTACAGCACGCTGATGCCAAAGACGGCCAGCAGGGGGTGGGTGTAGCGATTGTCGCCCCGTCGCTGCCAATCTAGGCCTCCTATAATCACACAGGACGGGGCCGGCCCCCCCTTCATGACTCCTAGTTTTATTGCCGCAGTTACTCAGCAGATGTTCAAACCAGACCAGCATCTGGAGCCAGGAAAGTGCCGCTGCATTCGACACATTTCACTGGAGTGACTTAAGGGAACCGCACTTCTAAAGAGCAGCTGTTAGCATGCTTAGCCCTGCCAGCCCTGGCTCAAGCTGTTCCCAGAAGTCCCGGTTTAAGCGTCAGATCAGTCATGTGACTGGGCGGCCTGCTGCGCGGCACTCGGTCGTCACGGCGACCGGGCAGAAAGCGGTTCAGACTCAGAACCATATCGGGCACGACCGGCCTCCTGCCCGCCCCACTTGACGTTTCCAGGGCGACTGTCTGCATTTCTGACGGGGTCCGGGGGCCGGCGGTGGGGGAGCGAGGGGAGGGTTTCTTTAATGGCTCTGCTGTAACCATCTGTTTGCACTTGTTGCAGTCACATGGTCAAGTCATGCAGGCGTTCAGAAATTCACACTGTGGGCCTTGCATCAGAATTTAGAAATATCACTGAATATTCCTGCATGTCACATTCATAGCTGGAAATCAGACATCAATACACAAATTATTATGAGAAATGCAGAGGGCAGCTACGGCAACATTCCATATTAGTCATTTATCAGAATTATTTTTTAATCAGCACATGTGATACAGGAGGCTTTGTAGCAGGTGTCCCAAATCCAAAGGGTATCGCGCTCGGGGATTCTGCAGTCCTACGTTCTCATCCATTCACTCATGATAACGAGGTAACCAGCGAATAGTGAAATAGTGAACTAAAATGAACCACAGGGTGCCGGCCAGCTGCAGCACAGGAGACTAATTACCCAGGGAATCCATTAAATCATCTGAGGGGGAACAATACGGTCGCTCAGCTGCCTTTATATCTGCCCGCTACTTTGTGAAGCCTACCATTATTTTAGCTATACACAGGCCGGAATGCTATTGTCATGCTTCACCTGAGAAGTTAAATCACTCTTCCAGCAGTAATTCTTATTCTGTGTCCAGGGGAGCTGTAGTGGCATGGATATGAAAACCCTGGCCGATTCAGAGGGCCCTGCACTTCACAGGGGCCCAAGAAATGTAACGTTTTTTTGGTAATATTGGGCGGGGAAGTTCCATGGCGACATTCAGTCAGGGGGGCAGAATTTTTACACCCATGTGTGTGGCTCAGTGGGTTAGGAAGCTGTGCTCATGAATCCTACGGCCAGCGGAGCGATTACATCACAGGGTCAGTAGGGTCTGTAACCCCAATCGCTATGGGGACTTGGCTGACTGTGCCTCCTCAAAATGCGGCTAAATAAATGGAAAACAGTCTCTTCAATATATTCTTTCATATTTACTGTCCATGTGATGAAAACCTAAGATTTATGTCTATAAACAATGACCAGAACCAAGAGGATGCACTGACCGTCATCGCAGTGCTCCGCCCCCCCACCCCTGACCCCTGACCCTCACCTCCACACACGTCTTCATCCCTGAGGCGGCCGCGTAGTGCAGGCACGTGCTCTTCTTGACGTCCGTGGCGTTGACGTTGGCGCGCTCGTACTCGCCCTGATCCAGCTTGGCGCCGGTCCACCTGAGGATCATCTGGAGGCAGTCGGCTCGCCTCTGCTCATCCTCTTGGGGCCGGGCCAGGCGGGGGTGCAGCACCCCCTCCGGCAGCAAGATCTGCGGGCCCATGCAGAGCAGGTGCAGGCAGGTCTCGTTGTGCACATTACGCTTGTTAGGGTTGCCATCCTTGCAGAACAGGAAGGACCTGGTGGAGATGGGAATGGGAAGATGCCAGCAGGGGGCGTTACAGCTAATTTGGATAATTTGTGCTAATTCCATGCATATTCATCAATGACATGTGGGTTTAGTCTCCCAGCCCACATATGCAGGTCCCGGTACCAGCCTTCAAGCCCCTTCGGACTTCTAGCACATCCCCACTTTCCCGAAGCCGAAAAAGCTCCTTTGATCCGAATCCTCTGCACCATGCGTTAAATCCGTACCCCAAATAAAAGCCCCCATTCCGTCCTCCCAGCCCTGCGTAGCACGGCCCCACTTACAATTCCGTCAGGAGCGAGCCTCACGGTCTGATTTATTACGGCAAACCAGGAAGCGGCAGCCCTATTAACGTGCGTTTCGGGAATGATTCTGCACACGGACAGTAACGGTACAAAGGACAGGGGACCGAGCAACCAGGCGCAGTACATTAATTCCGGTCGTGTATCCAATATGGCTTGGTTAAGCAGACTGTCCCCGCGTCCTTGGGCAAACAAATATATTTTGGAAAAAGGGTGACCGGGGGGGGGGG